GTGTATTTTCACCAAAAAAAAAGGTTGAGAAGTTAGAGGGTTAATATGTTGTGGGGTTGTTAACCAATGTCATAAAACAACATGTGTACTTCTGTTTCATGAGAAACTATTTGTTCTGTAAGCCTTCACCTGAAGTACAATAAAATATAAAAAAAAAGAAAAAGAAAAAAGTGCAGTGCTCAAGGCAAACATTCTTTATTAAATGAGCTAAGTTGTTTAGTTTAAAGATGACTTCATGGGATAGTTTCATTTCAAGGCTTAAAAGTTGTTTACAGGCAATAGATTTAGGCATTCCTCCAGTCTCCATGTATCCAGTAAGTTTGATTTCCAATTAGAATTTGAAGTTTTGTTCCACATTTTTCCTCCTTTTGATCAAGATCCAACTATTGGGTCCTTGATCAAAACGTTCGGTAAAGCAACATAGGAATTTTAACATCAGATATGTAGGTTCCATTTTGCAATTTTTACTGGGAATGTATTGATTTTTTAAAGATTAATTTGGGAGAGAACTAACATTTTTATTACTAGAGGCTTCCCCCTTCCATGATATGGTTGTGTGTGAGTGTCCCTGGATGAGTTTGTTTACCAAGCTGAATAACAGACCTGGGAAATAAGGATGTCAGTACAGAAAGGTGCAAGGCAAGTGTGGCTCAGTGAGGTTTCTGAAGGTCCAACTGATGGCTTTGGGATGTTGGGAAAAGGCTGTAGGTCCAGGTGCTTTGTGAACCAACTGTACACCTGAAGCTACGGGTGGGACCGCCCGCTGTGTGCAAACCGGCTTGCAAGTATCTGGCACACAAAAGTGCCCAATAAACTTTTGTTGAATCAGGTAATGAATGAATGAGTGAATTAATTATTTTTCGGAGAGATTATTGTATCTAGAAAACCTGCTAACACTTTTCATAAACTATGTCTAATCCTCATAACAACCCCTGAGAGGTATTACGACCCCATTTTACAGGCCTGGGAAACTGAGGCTCGGAGAAGGGGAAGTCTTCTGCCCGTATCCAAATCCGAGTGATTTCAGAAGTCATTCACTGAAGGGGCCAGATCTAATTTACACATCCGTCCATTCATTCATTCATCTGTCAAAGGTTTACTAAGCACCTACGATGCAGCGAAACGAACTAGCACAACAACCGCTTTAGATGGCATAGAATAGGCGGAGCGCTCGCGGGAAGATCAGCTGGGTGGCTGGATAGCAGGTACTGAGGGGGCGGGGTTTGCTCCAAGGGAATGTATCTTCCTCTGCCTTATAGCTAAGGCTTTGGCTAAGGAGGCATGGCTTGATCTAGGTTGGGGCGTGGTCTAGGGCGCAGATATTACAAAGATTGGCCGAGAGAGGGCGCGATTCGTGTGGCCTGGACACCTGCGCTCCGTCTGGCCTTCGGTGCGCAGGCGCAGGGGTGACTTACTAGTAGCTTGCGGAAGGATGATTTTAGGAGGCGTGTCTCAGAAAATTACGCAACATGGGGGCGTAACTAGACTAAATTAATCCTCGCAGATTTGCCTCTGCCTCTGAGGGTGTGGCCTGCGTGCCCCTCCTCGGAATGAAGGCGGGCAGAATCTAGTTTCCCCGTCTGCATCGGAGGTGTGGCTTAGGGAGGGGCCTCGAGCCGCTCCTCGGCGATTGGCAGCCTCACGCAGGGGGCATGGCAATACAAGCCGTCCGTCCTGGTGCAGTCACTTCCTGTGGAGTTTCCCCAGCCCGGGGAGGAGGGGACGAGGACGAGGGGGAGGAGGGCGGTTGTCCGGGGTTAGGTGTGGGGGGAGGGTCGGTCAGTCCAGGGCGGGGGATGACTCACGGCCCATCCCATCTACCCGACGCCGCCCGGCCGCGCAGAGCTCGTTCCATGGCTTAGCGGAGGAGGAGGCGGTGGCGAGCGGGGGAGGGGGACTCTTATTTTGTTAGGGGGACTGGGCCGAGGCCCGACCGGCCTGGCGAGGCTCGCCCGGTGCCGGGCGTCATGTCTCATGCGGCCGAGCCAGCTCGGGACGGCGTAGAGGCCAGCGCGGAGGGCCCTCGAGCCGTGTTCGTGCTGTTGGAGGAGCGCAGGCCGGCCGACTCGACCCAGCTGCTCAGGTGCGGCGCCGCCTGGGGCCGGGAGTGCCGGTTGGGGTTCCGTGGGGCCTGATCTTAGGGCAGCGGCGCCCCAGACTGCGATTGAAGGCCCTCGGCGTAGGCTTGGAGGACGTCGGGGCGCCTGTCGGGGGGAGGGGGGGCGCCTAAAGGGATCCGGCGGTGGCCTGCTTGTACTGAGGCTTAAAGGAGTTGTGGGAGTGCATTAAGGCGGGCCTGGGTCAGATCTGGAGAGCCCTTGACTGGGTCTGGAGGTACTAATTCTGGAAACTGTCCAGAAACTGGCCTGGGATAGGTAAACTTGACGGATTCTGATTAGAGGCACAATTTGGGGTCCTTGACTGAAGGATGAGAGGGATGCGCTTGAAGGGACATTGTCAGGTGAGACGCTGATTTTAAGGGAATACTAGAATCCTTTTCCCTCAGTGTAGGAAAGGGGGTCCTAGGGGACAAGGGTGCTGTCTTGGGAGCTTGGTGACTCCCAGTGGCTGGTTGCGGGAGGTAGTGTTTGGTGATAATATGAGTCTGGAGGGATTTGGGGTATCTCAGGTATGCCGCGGAGACCAGCCTTGTGTGTGTGTGAGTGAGTGAGAGAAACAACATTCACCAAGCTTTGACCGGAATAATCCCTTCACCGCTGCCCACCACCCAGCTGAGTCAAATCCCAGGGATAGTGGGAAAGCGCCCTACCCCGAACCCTATAGAGGCTTGAATGGGAAACAGACAGATATAGCTCTCTTAGCTCAGGGAAGGAGGCCTCAGACCTTATTTGGAAACCGAGAGGAGGGTCTTGTTCCTGGCCCCACCAGACCTAGTCTCTCAGCCAGCTCTAGGGCCCTCTCTCTATCCCCACACATATGCTTGTTCTTTTTATCTCGACCTTCCAGTCTGTCCCTCAGCCCCTAGGTGTAATCTTGAATCTGTCCTAGAGCAGAAAGGAACACTGATTGCACCATACCTGCCTGAGTGGGTCCTCTTCTCATCCTCACTTCCATCAACATGGTTGGGAGCCCTCCCTGTCCGCATCCCTGCCCACCCCAGCGCCCATCTCTTCCAACTTTTGTGAAATGGGTGTGTGAGCATGGGAGGGGGCTTTGCCTACTTTCTGCTTAGGTTTGTGCTAAGCTCAGCAGCTCCCCGTGCTTCCTCTTCCCAACTTCCTGGGTGGTTTTACATTTTAGGGCCCCATCTGAGGGTGAGGACAGGAGGGAAGACAGATCCTTGGGGAGGGAAGAGAGAATTCTTGTCAAGTGAAATCACCTGCAGTTTCTCAGGATTCTAAATCTTTGTCTGAATTTAAAGATGTGTATCTACGTATGTGTGTGTTAGTGTTTCCTGCACACTAGGGTCCTCGCACCCAGCGTGGAAGGCTAAGCAGAAGCCTTTCTGTATATTGATTCGCTATCTCATAATTCCTTTATAACAACCTAGATTATCACAGCAGTGGGAATAGTTGAAAGGGAGGGGTGTACATGGCTTATTTTCTGTGTCAGTGGGTGTTGGTGTTGGGGGTGCGTGTGTTTTGATCTATCCAAAAAACAAGAGGGTTGAGAAGGCTCCTCCCACCAAGAAAGACTGCTCGTATAAAGTGGATCATCTAGCCAAATTCTCCCCCTTGTAAATCCAGACAGTTGGAGCGAGGGGAGACTCTGCTATTTCCATTTTGTATTTAGGTACGTGTTGGCATCCTATACACTCTGGCTGGGCCTGGGAAGGAAATCATTTGCAAAGCGGTGGATCCTTCTATAAAGTGAATCAGATCCTAGTCCTCTTTGTGATGGATTCCATTCTTTGTTACAATGGACTGTTATGATGAGGGATGCCCCTACATGCTGTGTGTGTGTGGACAGGTGTGGGCTCACATTCAGCTGTCAGGAAAATAGTAAGATGGGGGGGGCTGGGAGAGCTCTGAATGCAAAGTCCGGAATCCTGTAAAGTGAATCGTCATTCCTAAATTCTGAATTTCTATTTTCTTCAAATCCAGGTTCTTGTTACATGTGATTGTTAGAGTGAGAGGGTGGGGTCCAGGCATTCTTATTATTTTGAATCTTAAGTGACTATGGGTGACACAGAGCATATGGGGGTGGGGACAGGAGAGGATGTGGAAATTCATGGTGGTGGTACCCAGTGGGGTGGCTGAATTTGAGGGGGTACACTCTGTCCCCCTGCCTCTCCCTGTCTCTATCTCTGTCTCTCTGGAAGGGGAGGGAAATGAGGTCTCCCTACAACCACTGACCATCACGCCTACCTTTCCCCTACCCTCAGCCTGAACTCTTTGCTTCCGGAATCTGGAATTGTTGCTGACATCGAATTAGAAAACGTCCTTGATCCTGACAACTTCTACGAACTCAAAAGCCAGCCCCTACCCCTACGCTCAAGGTATGACTCCTCTGTTGGACTCCCCCCGCCCCCAATTCATCAGCCTGCCAATCCCCTCTTGATAGTCACAGGCCCTTAGCGCCAGCCCAACCCATTCTCTTACCAGCCTGCATTTTCCAGATGGTAATGTAGGGGCCAGAAAGAGCATGTCACACAGGAAAGCAGGTGGCCAGCCTAGGATGCTGATATCTCAGACAAGGCCTCCCTGCCACCACCCCCCACCCCCACCTGCGCGCACATTCATACACAAATATTCTAGCATGCCTAGTGTGCCCAGGGATAGGGCGGGGCCTGCTCAAGCTCTTGTCCCAGGTGGGCAGAGCCTATACCCACCACCTCTGCTCAGTCCCCTCCCACACTGAACAAACACCCCTACCCCCACTCCTTGAGGAACCCCTGCTGGTTTCTTCTTTCCCCTTGCCTGGAAGTCTAAATGTGCTGAGTCATCCGCCTGGGCTCTAAGAGAGGGGAGGGGACCTGGAAGAGGGGCAGGAAGAGAGGATTGTGAAATCTCAGATTTTCAAGACTGACTAGTGCCTGGGACTAGAGGCCCAGGCAGGGGAAAAGAGGGGCCTAGGGCTGCCCCTATAGCCTGATGCCAATCTCAGGAGGAACTCTGGGAGTAACTGATGCCCAAAATTGGGCTTAAGAGCCCTCTGTACAACTACAGCCCCAATCCTGCTTCCTTCTCTTCTTCAGATAGGATAAACCCACTCTCCCAGAGCTGAGCAATGGCATCCTCATTCAGTATATGAACAGACCCAAATCCTGGCTTCACCACTAGGAACTGAAGGCTGAAAATCCCCCACTGGACTGGGACCCCTGAGGGCTGAGACCTGACCTGGTCCCTGTGTCTCCCCCTCCACACTGTGGCCTTCAAAGACAGAGAACGGGCCTGGTTCTTATGTCTACTCCATCACATTGTGACCCCTTAGGCTTGAGATGAGACTTTTAGCTTACCTGTGGCCCCATATTTCCCATCCACAGCCTCCCAATATCACTGCAGGCCACACCAGCCACCCCAGCTACACTCTCTGCATCATCTTCTGCAGGGGGCTCCAGGACCCCTGCCATGTCGTCATCATCTTCATCAAGGGTCTTGCTGCGGCAGCAGCTAATGCGGGCCCAAGCCCAGGAGCAGGAGAGGCGTGAGCGTCGGGAACAGGCTGCAGCCGCTCCCTTCCCCAGTCCTGCACCTGCCTCTCCTGCCATTTCTGTGGTTGGTGTCTCTGCTGGGGGCCACACATTGGGCCGTCCCCCCCCTGCTCAGGTGCCCAGGGAGGTGCTCAAGGTAAGGTGAGATCTGGAGGCTGTGGGAGGGGTTTCTTGGAGACTGAGGAGCTGGGGGGTGACTTGGGAGTCCTGGTGGCTTTTGGGCGAGGCCCTAGCGGCTCTAAGGAAAGTCCAAGGTACCATTAAATGGGTTGTGCTAGTGTCCTATTGTATTTAGGGTTTCTGAGGTGTTCTCGTTCAGTTGTGAGAGGCAATATAAGATGTACTGGTGAACCAGGGAGGGCTGTGAGCTCTCAGAGTGGGTCCTGGGATCTGTGAAGTGGCTTTGTAGGAAGAGCTTCATGTATGTGCGATACGTTAAGAGTTCTTTGGGGGCCGTTAGGGTGTCTTGGGAAGCCATGTGTGGTTCCCATGTTTTTTAGGTGGTATCAGAGACTAGGAGGGTGTCCTGGGGACTGTGACAGGATATTCCAGAAACTGTTTGAGGGATCCTGTCATCCCTGGGCATGTCTTGGGGGCTGTGAGTGACTTCTGAGAAAGGGAGTTTGGGTCTTAGGGGAAACACCAGTATTTTTGGGGTGGGGAGTGTCTCGGATTCTGGGCCCAGTTTGCCCACCTGAGCCTGGGAGCAAATGAGATGGGGGTCAGTCTGGGGCTCAGAGTTGCCCCTCTGAGCTCTGTTCTACCTTGCCCCTCCCCTGTCTCCTCCCCAATATCCCACAGGTGCAGACTCATCTGGAGAACCCAACACGCTACCACCTGCAGCAGGCTCGCAGGCAACAGGTGAAACAGTACCTGTCTACCACACTTGGGCCCAAGCTGGCCTCCCAGGCCCTCACCCCACCGCCAGGGCCCACTAGTGCCCAGCCACTTCCTGCCCCTGAGACTGTCCATGCTACTGGCCCTGCAGGCAGCGCTCCCAACAGTCCCATGGCGCTGCTCACCATCGGGTCCAGCTCAGAGAAGGAGGTGAGTAGCTGCAGACAACCCTCCCACCCTCCTGTTCCTCCCCCAACATCTTATAATCCTGTTCCATATTTACATTTTCTCCCAGATTGATGATGTAATTGATGAGATCATCAGCCTGGAGTCCAGTTACAACGATGAGATGCTCAGTTATCTGCCTGGAGGCACTGCAGGGCTACAGCTCCCCAGCACGGTGAGGCCCTAAGATGGGAGGTTGGTCTGAAAATTAGGGGATGCCTCTATCATTGAGACCTCACCTGCTGCTGGCTGTGTACATATAGACTCTTGCCTTGGATTGTACTAAGATAGAGAGGGAGTCCTTATGAAGAGAATGGGACATACCAATGCTCTTGGGCCTTGTATTGGACTGTATCAAGAGGTGGACCTTCTAGTTTGATATTTGTAAGGTGGAGAGTTGGTGGAGATACTAGGGCGTACCAAGGTACTTGGCCTTCACTTTGGGAGGTACCAAGAAGTGGAAATCCTGTAGCAATTTGAATGTACCAACGGATTCAGATCATTGGGACATATCCAGATCATGCAGTGATTAGAACATAGCAAAAGTCTCAAAATATGGTATGGGATATAACAAGTGGTTTGGCCTTGTAGTGATTGGAATGTACCAAGTCACTTGCCATGACTTGTGCCAAGAGGTTAGGTCCTTGTGGATAAAACTTTGTAGAGCAAGGGATGTAACAAGAACTAGTAACATTCTGGTTCTAGAACATTCTGAGAGTCTCTTAACTTGCTTTGGGACATAATGTGGCTGTAACTTTTATTTTTTCCAACTTATCAAGAGGATAGAAGCATATATAAAAATGGTACCAGTTTATTGGAACTTTTTATTGATTTGGAACTTAGGTAAATCTAGCAGACTGGAGGAGGTTTCAAGAGATGAAAACTCATAAAGAAGTGGGACTAATTATTATGGGTTAGTATATTGCCCGGGAGTATATGCAGGAGAGTGCAAAGGAGAGAAAACAGTCTAGGCAAACATAACAGCAGTGCTAGCTGAGTAGTTGGAAAAGAGATCAGAATGTGCAGAATGTGCAGGGAGGTACTAGAGTCAGAGTAGAGTCAGGGCAGCAGGAGACCATGTATCTAATGTGGTGTGACATGGTTGCAGCAAAAGACTTGAAATTGGGTTGGAACTCTGCAGAAGTCCAGATTTTGGGTGGAATATTGCCATGACCAAGGTCTGAGAAGATTGGGTTGGAGTGTTCCAAGAACTCTGTACTGGAATTTAGTGCTGGGCTAATGGACTGGAATGTTGCATTGGAGTAGACAAAGACCTGAGAAGGGTGGTTTTCAAGCATTTCTCCTCAGAGCCAACCCGTAGTTTAGGAGAGGAGCTTTAGAGGTCACTGAGGGGCTTGGGGGATTGGCGGGGGGATGTTGAGCAGACTAGATAGGCTCCATTCCCTAGAAAATCAAGGTAGGTCCACTTTGCCTTGTCTTCCCTGTTGGATTGCCATATGAAATTCCCCTGAAGGAGAAGGAAGGGTTTCCTTGCCAAGTAAGCCAATCCCTGAGTTAGTGGGCCCCCACTTTCGGGTGTGTGGAGGGTCAGGAACCTGGTTCTGAGGAGGGGACAAGCCTGGGGTTTGTTCCTAAACTATTGTTTCTCTCCCCTCCCTGCCCCCAGCTACCTGTATCAGGGAATCTTCTTGATGTATACAGTAGTCAGAGCGTGGCCACACCAGCCATCACTGTCAGCAACTCCTGCCCAGCTGAGCTGCCCAACATCAAACGAGAGATCTCTGGTAAGTGCCAGGGTCTTGGCCACATGCCTCCACCCTGTACCCTGAGGTGAGCACCATGTCTTCGAGGTCTGGGGATGGGCCTGGCTGCATGAAAAGGGGTTTATACATACAAAAAGGGGGCTGTTTGCTCTCTTTTTCCACATGGCCCATGATCCTGCTTTCACCCCACTTCTTCTCACAGCCTCTCATCTTAGATTTAACAACTGGCATGTCACCATGGTTTTGAAAACATAGTAATTTTTTATAAAAGTCACTTCCCCTTGCCTCTGCCCACCAAACCCCCTCCTCAGCAGCTGCATGCGCTCCCCTCTTCCCCATGCCCAGAGGCCCTGACCACCCGCACTCTCTTGTACTCTGTTCCAGAGACAGAGGCAAAGGCCCTTTTGAAAGAACGGCAGAAGAAGGACAATCACAACCTAAGTAAGTGAGAGAGCGTGTGCACTTGGAAGCATGTTGCATAGCTCTGCCTTCCTCTGAGTCCCAGCCCTCCTTGGGGGACCCCTTCCCACAGCAGCCTCCCAACTCCCCAGTATCTCTCTTCCCTCCTTCACCTATTGATGATTCATTCCCACTCTCTCTCTCTCCCCTTACCTCCAAAGTTGAGCGTCGCAGGCGATTCAACATTAACGACAGGATCAAAGAACTGGGCACCCTCATCCCCAAGTCCAGTGACCCGTGAGTCTGGGCTGGGAATACCAGGCCAGCGGGGGGTGGAATAGGGCCCTGTTTCCCCAAATTTGTCCCTTGGTGGGCCTGTCAGGCCATCTTGCCCCAGGCAGTTTTTTTTTTTTAATTGTGCTCTAGGTGAAAATTCACAGCTCGAGTTAATTTCTCATTCAGAAATTTATACACATATTTTGTGACATTGATTGCAGTACCCACAATGTGACAGCACATTCCCCCTTTTCACCCCGGGTTCCCTGTGTCCATTCGTCCAGTTCCTGTCCTTCCTGCCTTCTCGTCTTGCTTTTAGACAGGTGTTGCCCATTTGGTCTTGTATATTTGATTGAACTAAGAAGCACATTCCTCACGTGTATTATTTTTTGTTTTATAAGCCTGTCTAATCTTTGTCTGAAAAGTGGGCTTCAGGAATGGTTTCAGTTCTGGGTTAGCAGAATGTCCAGGGGCCATAGTCTAAGGGGTCCCCTCCAGTCTCTGTCAGACCAATAAGTCTGGTCTTTTTCCATGAATTTGAATTCTGTTCTACATTTTTCTCCCATTCTGTCCAAGATTTTTTGTTGTGATCCCTGTCAAAGTGGTTGTTGGTGGTAGCCGGGCACCATCTAGTTTTTCTGGACAAGGTTGGTGGAGTCTCTGGTTCATCTGGTCCTTTGGGCTACTATTATGTCTTTGGTTTTCTTCATTATCCTTTGCTCTGGGTACGATGGGACCAATAGATATATCTTAGATGGCCGCTCGCAAGCTTTTAAGACCTCAGACACTACTCACCAAAGTGGGATGTAGAACATTTTCTTTATGAACTATGTTATGCCAGTTGACCTAGATGTCCCCCGAGACTAGAGTCTCCAGCCCCCAGCCCCAGCTACTCAGTCTCTCAAAGTTTTTAGATGTGTCTAGGAACCCAGGCAGTTCTGCTGCTGTTCTGTGGTCCTTTTCACCCAGCTTTCCTCACTCTTAGCAGTGTTGTAGACCCTCATTGTACCTCCAACTAAAATTTTAGGTGCGTGATATTATGGTCCATGTGCCTTATCTGGTCCCCATGTGACATATGCACTTTCCTATTTATTTAGTACTTCTTTCATTTATTTATTCAAAGGAGCCCTGGTGGCACAGTGGTTAAGTGCTTGGCCACTAACTGAAAAGTTGGTGTTTCAAACCCACCAGCCATTCCGTGGGAGAAAGGTGGCAGTCTGCTTTCATACAGATTACAGTCTTGGAAACCCTATGGGGCAGTTCTACTCTGTCCTGTAGGGTTGCTGAGTCAGAATCGACTCTATGGCAATGGGTTGGGTTTGGTTTTTTATTTATTCAAGAAACATTTATTGAGCTTCTACTTTGTGTCAGGCACTGTTCTAGACCCTGCAGATACCAAACCCATTGCCATCGAGTCAATTCCGACTCATAGCGACCCTATGGGACAGAGTAGAACGCCTCATAGGGTTTCCAAGGAGCGGCTGGTGGATTTGAACTGCCAACCTTTTGGTTAGCAGCCGAGTTCTTAACCACTGTGCCACCAGGGCTCCCTGCAGATACCAGAGGGAGTAAAACAGACAAAAACCCCTGACCTCATGAAACTGATGTTTTAGTGGGGGCAAGCAGACAGTAAATAAGATAAATAAGTAAAATACATGAGATGATGATGAGTGTTACGGAGAAGACTCAATAATGGAAGGAACATGCGGAAGTATTGGGGAGGTATATTAGTTTCTTAGGGCTGCCGTAAGAAAATGCCACAAAGTAGGTGGCTTATAAGAACAGAAATTTATTGTCTCACAGTTCTAGGGGAAGTCTCTCTTAGCTTCTGGTAGCCCCCAAGCGTTCCTTGGTGTGTAGATGCATTTTCACATTGCTTTCCTCTGTCTCTCTGTATCTCTTCTCCTCTTTTATAGCCACTCATACTGGATTAGGACCCACCCTTCTCCAGTATGACCTCATGTTAACTGATAACATCTTCAAAGACCCTATTTCTGAACAAGGTCATGTTCATAGGGCCAGGATTTAGGACTTCAACATATCTTTTTGGGGGACACAACTCAATCCATAACAATCCACCCTCTGGCCTTCCAAAATTCATGTCCTTCCCATGTGCAAAATACATTCACCCCATCCCAGCACCCCTAAATGTCTTAACTCATTCCCGCATCCATTCTTAAGTCTACAATCTCATCATCTAAATAATCTAAATCAATTATGGGTGTGAGACTCTGGGTATGATCCATCCTGGGGCAAGATTCCTTTCCATCTGTGAAATCTAGAATACAAGTTATGTGCTTCCAAAATACAGTGATAGTACAGGGATGGAATAGACATTACCATTCCAAACAGGAGAAATTGAAGGAAAAGTAGGGATCACAGGTCCAAAGCAAGTTTAAAACCCAGCAGGGCAAATTCCATTAGATTGCAAGGCTTGAAAATAACCCTCTGTCCTCTGGGCCCACCTGGGCAGCAGTCTTGACCCCTCTTCTCTGGACCCATCCTGGCAGCCCTGCCAGCCTCTGAACTGCTTTTGTGATCATCCTTTCCTTTTCTTGAAGGGCAACAGATGTTTATAGTCAAGCACCTCATTGGCCCATTTTCTGTCTGTAGAATCCCAGTAGTCCAACAGCTTTACTTTATTTTGTCCCCTTCAGTCTAAGCTCACTAAGATGGTTGATTGGATCCATAAGTCTCATGCCTAATCTCTTTAGCAAATGGTTGTCTAGCCACACCGTTGGTAGCCTTTCCAGAGCACCTTTCTCAGTTTTTACAATATGGATAGGCTAAGAATTTTCCAAATCTTCAAGTTCTGTTTTCTAGAAAACATTCGAACATAATTCAGCCAAGTTCTTTGCCACTTTATAACAAGGATCACCTTTCCTCCAGTGTCCAATAACATTTTCATCATTTCCTTTAAGGCTTCACCAGAAGCACATTTAATATCTACATTTCTAGCAACATTCTGTTTGTGACAATAGAATCTTTCTCTATAGCTCTCCTCAGTTATTCTGAGCCCTCATCAGAATTACCTTCAATGTCCATAATTCTACCAACAATCTCTTCAAGGCGATCTAGGCTTTTAGTATCAAGTACCTCAGAGCTCTTCCAGCCACTTCCCATTACCCAATTCTAAAGCCACTTCCACATTTGTAGGTTTTTGTTACAGCAGCACCTCACTTCCCAGTACCAAAATTTGTATTAGTTTTCTAAGGTTGTCATAATAAAATATGACAAACTGGGTGGCTTGTAAGAATAGAAATTTGTCTCCCAGTTCTGGAGGCTAGTAGTCAGAATTCAGGGTATCAGCAGGGCCATGCTTTCTCTAAAGGCCCTAAGGAAAGATCCTTCTTGTCCCTCTCAGCTTCTGGTAGACCCAGGTGTTCCTTGGTGTGTAAATGCATCTTCACATGGCTGCCTTTTCTGTTTCTCTGTGTCTTATAAGGAGTCACTCATACTGAATTAGGACTCATCCTACTTTGGCATGACCTCATGTTAACAGATAACATTGTCAAAGACCCTATTTCCAAACAAGGTCATGTTCACAGGTACAGAGAATTAGGACTTCAGCATATCCTTTTGGGGGACACAATCCATAACAGGAGGGTCCCAATTTTGGATGAGGAGAGTGAGATAGGGCAGGCCTCAACTGACAAGGAAATATTTGAATAAAGAGCCTAAGGAGGTGAGGCAGGGAGCCATATGGATATCTAGGGGAAGAGTGTTCAAGGCAGAGGGAAGAGCCAGAACAGAGGCCCTGAGATGGGAATGGTTTTCCATGTTACAGGAACACTGAGAAGCCAGTGTGGTTGTCATGAGATGATTAAAGGGAAATAGGTAAGAAGTCGAATCCCTTAGTGGCGTAAATGGTTAAGTGCTCAGCTATTAACTGAAAGGTTGGCGGTTTGCGGTCCACCCAAAAGCACCTCGGAAGAAAAGCCTGGTGTTCTACTTCTGAAAAATCAGCCATTGAAAACCTTATGGAACTCAGTTCTACTCTAACACACATGGGGTCACCATGAGTTGGAATCAACTTGATAGCAACTCATTTTTGTTTAGTTAGGTAAGAGCTAAGTGGTAAGGTGTCCAGTCAGAGAGTGCATTCTTGGGTCTGGGCTGTGGTGGGCACCATTGGAAGGTTCCAGGCAGGCTGTTTTCATCTGAGCATTCCATACCCTTGATTTACCCCCACCTCAAGTTCTAGGCATGTAGTAGTGGGGTCCATCTACCTGGTGCGGTTCCCTCTCTCAGCTCCCGAGAGACTCCATATGCAACACTCCCTTCTTTCCTCCCCCCCGGGCTCCACAGGGAGATGCGCTGGAACAAGGGCACCATCCTGAAGGCCTCTGTGGATTATATCCGCAAGTTGCAGAAGGAGCAACAGCGCTCCAAAGACCTGGAGAGCCGGCAGCGATCCCTGGAACAGGCCAACCGTAGCCTGCAACTCCGAATTCAGGTCTGGAGGGAGGAAAGGATGATGCAGGTGAGGGAGGGCATCCTGTAGGCAGAGGCAGAGGAAGAACAGGCCTGAATTTCCCTTCCTGGCATACTTGGGGGATCCCTGGGCTTCCTAACTCACATGCTGCTGCTGCTGCTGACAATAATAACATTAACAAGAATAATAATGAATATTAGCTAATTTATGTAGCGTTTGTCTTGTGCCATGCACTGTAACAAGAATTTTATATACATTAACTCATTTAATCCTCACAACCATCCTGTGAGAGAGGCTCCGTTATTATACCCATTTTACAGATTGGGACTCTGAGGCTCCTAGACATTAAGTGACTTGCCTAAATTTACACAACTAGTGAGTGGCAGAGGCTGAATTTGAACCCAGGAAGCCTGCCCTTTTAACCATTACACTCCTCTGCCTCTGAGGGACTCTGAATCCCATCTTATCTTATACCCACTACTTACTTTTTGCAGGAGCTAGAACTGCAGGCCCAGATCCATGGTCTGCCGGTACCTCCCACCCCAGGGCTGCTCTCCCTGGCCACAACTTCGGCCTCTGATAGTCTCAAGCCAGAGCAGCTGGACGTTGAAGAGGAAGGCAGGCCAGGCACGTTTCACGTGGGTGGGGCACCTGCCCCAAATGCTTCCCATCAGCAGCCCCCAGCGCCACCATCAGATGCCCTTCTGGACCTGCACTTTCCCAGTGACCACCTGGGGGACCTAGGGGACCCCTTCCACCTTGGGCTGGAGGACATTCTGATGGAGGAGGAGGAGAGTGTGGTGGGGGGGCTCTCAGGGGGCACCCTTTCCCCACTGCGGGCTGCCTCTGACCCTCTGCTGTCTTCAGTGTCCCCCGCTGTCTCCAAGGCCAGCAGCCGCCGCAGCAGCTTCAGCATGGAAGAGGAGTCCTGATCAGGCCTCACCCCTCCCCTGGGGCTTCCCTACCCAGGAAAGGAGGACAAGTTAGGATGACTTCCCCTTTTCCCCCATCCCTTCATGAGACTGCCTTGCCCAGGTGTTCTGGGGGAAGAGGAGATGAGATCAGGCCCCACCCCTGTAATCAGGCAAAGAGGAGGAGTCAGATGAGGCCTTACCCCTTCCTCAAAGGGACAGCCCAGTGCAGGTATTTCAGACTTGGGGGTGGTAGTGAGATCAGGCCCTACCTCCTGGAGATCACAGCCTTGCCTCTGCCCCATGGGACCCGCCCTTGCCCAGATGAGGGAAGGTGACAGGATGAGGTCCTGCCCCTGTCCCCTAGAGACAGTCCTAGCCAGGCCTCCTGGGAAAAGGAGGTGTCAGGATGCTGCCCCATCCTTTCTCTTGTAACCTCCAGTCTAGTCTAGCCAGGCAAGGAAGAGGAGTCAAAAATGATGGAGGTCCCATCCCTGGGACCTGTTCCTTGCCCATTAACCCCTCCCTGCCCAGGCAAGGGAAGAAATAAGGATGAAATCCCACCCCTTCCCTATAGGAACAGCCCAGCACAGGTATTTCAGGCATGGAGGAATCAGTAAGATCAGGCTACCCCAAGCAGAGGTCACAGCCCCACACTTGTCCCTTAGCAACATCCTATCCAAGCATTCCACACCACAGGAAGCAGTGGTACTTAAGCTCCCCTGCCTTAACCTGGGACCAACCTCACCTAACCTACTGGGGAAGGGGGCAGACGTTGAAATCTTGTAGATTGACATTCCAAGCCTAGATCGGAAGTTAGAGTTAGGCCCTGATCCTTGGGCAGTGTCCTGCCTCCTTTGTTGAGGGGCATTTTTGGAAAGTGATGGGGATTAGGGGGACTGAGTCTAAGTTCCCAGAACCAGTACCCCGCTATCCTTTTTCAGAATGTAGAGGAACAGAGTGAAGGAAGGGGAGTTCCCCAGCCCAGGAAAAAGTGGAGGCCACACCCCCACCAAAATAGAGGCTTGGTGGGAGGGTTGTGAAAGCATAAGGAACCCATTTATCTGATTTTTTTATTGACCCCCTCTTCAGAAGCTAGGTCACCCCCAATCTCTGGCCCCCACCCAGTTCTCCATTTGGGGGAACCCCCCCTTCAAAGTTATCAAGAGATACTCCCCCATCCCCACCCCTCCTACCACATCCACCCAAGGTTGTCAGCTCTGGATTGTTGGGGCTAGGCCCCAAGAGGGTATACTGAGGGGTCTGTAGGTTTGTGATTAAAATAATAAATGCTAGGCGTGTTTGATGCGCTTTTAACTTTGGCAAAGAGTCTCCTGTCCTTGCTTTTGACTGCAGTGAGCACCTTACCCCATGCAGGCCAGGAGGGGTAAGGTTCTTGGAGGAAGCAGACTTAAGAGACCTAGAGGAAAGCAACTTGCAAACAAAAGTAATAGGTAATTTTGACTACCTATCAGGCACTGTTCTGGCACAGTGATTAAGAGCTTGGCTGCTAACCAAAGAGTTGCCACTTCGAATCCACCAGCCACTCCTTGGGAACCCTATGGGGCAGTTCTACTCTGTCCTATAGGGTCGCTGTGAGTTGGAATCGACTCGACGGCAACCGGTTTGGTTTGGTTTCTTTCAGGCACTGTTCTAACTAGTGAAAGTGTTTCACCTAACTTATTCACCTAATAAATATTAATCAGTAGGTGGTGATTCTTATTTTCATTTTATGTTTAAAGAAGCTGAATACAATTTAAGTAACTGTTCTGAAAATATACAGCTAGTAAATAAAGGAAGAGCTAAACTGTGAAGTTAGTTAAGTGAGGGCTCTAGTATGGAAAAAATGTCACTGAAGGTACAGGTGGGAAAGAAGATTTTCTTGCAAGTTCACTTTTGAAACTGATAAGGATATGAGGATGCCAACTGGCAGACAGTGCAGGTATTCAAGACAGTGGAAATGGCAAAAACAAAACCCATAAAGGTAGAAAAACAGGCAAACGACTCAAGTTTGGAAGTGACATTGACATCTTTGGGGAATTTATATGGGAGTGAACACATAAAAGAATCTTCTTGAAGGCTGGGAAAAAAAAACATTAAAACATTCCTGGGACGACTCAATCAGACTGTGACCCCTGAGGGCAGGACCACACTTGCTCCCTTTTTCTAACCTATTCCACCGTGATACCTAAAGCCTGTCTACTGAGTTTCCACCACTAGACCGGTGGCTATCTTTTCTCTATTTTTCTCCTCAGATTTGCTATACTCTTCTTTATTTTATAAACATAACATAATGCCCAGTATTGTTTCTTTAACTTTTTATTCTCAAATAATTTTAGATTTACAGAAGACTAGCTATACCCATCAACCAGCTTCCCCTAATGTTAACATCTTACATGACCATGGTACATTTATCAATGCTAAGATAAAATACTATTTCAGACTTTATTTGGATTTCACTGGTTTTTCCACTGTTTTTTTTTTGTTTTGTTTTGTTCCAGGAGCCAAGCAAGGATACTGTATTAGTTACCTATTACTGTGTAAAAAATTACCACACAGTGGCTAAAAACAGCACATATTTATTATCTCCCAGTTTTTGTGGGTCAGGAATCAGGCTTAGTTTAGCTGAGCTCTCTATCTCAGTGTCTCTTACCAGGGTGTAATCAAGGAAGGTGTAAGCCAGGTTTGAGGACTCATTTGAAAGTGGGACTAGGGAAGGATCTGCTTCCAAGCTCAAGCGGTTGCTGGCAGGATTCAGTTCTCTCTGCAGTCTGTTGAACTGAGAGCCTCAGTTTCTTGCTGGCTGTCAGCCAGAGGCACCCTCAGTTCCTTGCTGTGTGTGTCTTTCTATGAGGAAGCTCACAGTATGGCAGTTCACTTCATCAAAGCCAGCGAGAGAGAGAGAGTTGCCTAGCAAATGGAAGTGACAATCTTCTGTAATTTAATCATGAAAGTGACATCCCCTCAATGTTGAACCATTCTTTTAGTTAGAATCAAGTTACTCCAGGGAAGGGGAATACACAAGACTATGAATATTGAGATGGATTGACACAGTGGCTGCCAACAATGGGCTCAAGCATAGCAACGATTGTGAGGATGGTGCAGTGTTTAGTTCTGTTGTGCACAGGGTCACTCTGAGTTGGAACCAACTTGACTGGCACTTAACAATAACAACAACATGAATATCAGTAGGCAGGACCACTGGGGGCCATCTTAGCTATGTACCACAGATTCCTCCTTGCATTTAGTTGTCATGTCTTCTTGGTTTCCTCTGACAGTTCCTAGAAATCGTGATATCCCTGAAGCAATGAGCATTTATCTAGTGCCCAGATCTTGGTTTCTAAATACCATTCTCCAATAAAAGGAACCAGGTCTCCTTGGAGAAATGGCTGATTTTAAGCCTGGGGCAGGGAAATACAAGAGAAGCGTGGAGCATCTTGTAGTGCCATAAAATAAGAAAGGGCTAAAAAAAAAAAAAAAGATGGGTGTATGTCATCATCAGGAGTCAACCTGAAAGAGCTCCCAATGGCAAAAGCTGGTACCATGTGAGTAACAAAAAAATAACAATTGTGTTGTATTATAGTCCAAAAAATAAAATAAATGTTCATGATTCCATACTTGCATAAATAAATGATATGATTGAATAAATAAATGCTAGAGTCCCTGAGTGGTGCAAACAGTTAAGCGCTGGACTACTTAGCTGAAAGGTTGGCAGTTCAAACATGCCCAGAGGCGCCTCGGAAGATAGGCTTGGCTATCTGCTTCTGAAAACCCTATGGAGCAATTATATTCTGCACACATGGGGTCTCCGTAAGTTGGAATCATCTCGACTGGCAACTAACAACAGGGAAGTGACTAAAAAAACACCAAACCAGTTGCTGTGGCGACCCCATGTATTTCAGAGTAGAACTACACTCCATAGATTTTTCATGGCTGTGAACTTTTAGAAGTACATTGCCGGGCCTTTCTTTCAAGCTGCTTCTGGATGGGTTCAGACAGCCTACCTTTTGATTAGTAGCCCAGGGCTTAACCATTTGTGCCACCCGGGGACAACTAATCCTTAAATAATAAACACAGAAGAAATGAGGGGAATAGAAAATTACCATCAGAATGCCACAGTAATAATTGCTGCAGGCAAGATCCACTAAATGGTAAATTTAGTGGGCAGAACATTAAGCTGAAATATGATAGTTGTACAGCCTTAAAGTACACCCCAAAATATATATTGAATACTTGATTCTCCTCCCTCCAAGAGGTGGAGCTTAATTCCCCTCCTCTTGAATGTGAGTTGGACTTGGTGACTTGCTTTTTAAAAAAAATTTATTGTGGTGAAAATATACATAATAAAAATACACCACCTTAACAGTTTCTACATGTACAATTCAGTGACATTGATTACATCCTTCAAGTTGTACAAGCATTCTCACTAAGTGACTTGCTTTTAATGAAAAGAGCATGGAAATTGAAAAATAGTAAATTTACACTGGAGCAATCTGGCAGACACCATCTTAAACAAGAGATGAATGTTAACATCACCAGTAATAAGACATATTGATGTTATGTACCCCCTGATGTAATTCAATGAGAAGGGCACTGCACTTTTGTGGTATTCTTCCCCCAAACACCTAACCCCATTCTAATCATGAGAAAATATCTGAGAAAAGCAAATTGAGGGACCTTCTACAAAATACTTGACCGGTACTCTTCAAAAGTGTCAAGGTCAAAAACTTCAACAACTCAACAACAAAAAGACAAACAACCCAATTAAAAAATGGGCAAAGGACATGAACAGACACTTTGCCAAAGAGAACATTCAAGTGGCCAACAAACACATGAAAATATGTTTATGATCATTAGCTGTTAGAGAGATGCAAATCAAAACTACAATGAGATACCACCTCACTCCTGCTGAAATGGCACTGATTAAAAAAAAACAGAAAACAACAAATACTGGCAAGGGTGTGGGGAGATTGGAACCCTTATCCACTGCTGGTGGGGTTGTAAAATGGTATAACCACTATGGAAAACAGTATAGCGCTTTCTTAAAAATCTAGAAATAACTACCTTATGATCCAGCAATCCCATTACTAGGTATATACCCTAGAGACCTAATACTAAAGGCACAAACAGACACATGCACACTTATGTTCATTGCAGCACTATTCACAATAGCAAAAAGATGAAAACAACCTAAGTGCCCATCAATTGATGAATGGATAAACAAAATGTGGTACATACATACCATGGAATATTATGCAGCCATAAAGAATAATGATGAGTTCTCAAAATATAACGTGGATGAATTTGGAGGACATTATGCTGAGTGAAATAAGTCAATCACAAAAAAGACAAATACTGTATGATCTCACTTTTATAAAAAGACAAGAATAGGTATAGATACAGAAACCAACGTTCATTGGTGGTAACCAGGGATAGGAGGGAGGGGGAACCAGTCTCTAGATAGTACACACTTGTTATTTTCAGTGATGGGAAAGGTAACACCAAATGTGCACAACTTGACCAAGGTAAATGATGTCACTAAGACTTACACAAGAATAAGGGACGTTTTTGGTAAATGCTACAACATACACAATTTTGAAACAACAGCAACAACGTCGAAAAAATATGTGGTTACATAGGTAGGTATGTACACACATATGTGTATAGGTAGATACATGTGTGTATATATGCATGCATGTTATGGGTGTATCTATAGGCATATGTATATACATGTATGTGTGTACTGCATTTATATTCATATATAGAACAAAGCACATAGTGAGCACAGTTACAGATACTTCTTAGACATAACCAAACACCTCATGAGATTGGTTTTCTGGGTTTGAAGGGTTAGGACCATAGTCTCATGGGACATCTTGGTCAATTGGCATGATATAGTTCATAAAGTTTATGTTCTACATCCGAGTTTGGTGAGTAGCATCGGGGGTCTTAAAAGCTTGTGAGCAGCCATCTAAGATACAACTATTGGTCTCAGCTCGCCTGGAGCAAATGAGAAAGAAGGAAACCAAAGACTCAAAGAAGAAATTAGTCTACAGGACTAATCGCCTACATGAACTATGACCTCATCTACCCTGAGACCAGAAGAACTAGATGGCGCCCAGCTATCACTACCAATTGTTTTGATCAGGGATACAATAGATGAACCCTGATAGAATAGGAGAAAATGTAGGACAAAACTCAAATTCTTAAAAAGTGCAGACTTACCGGACCGGTTAAGACTAGAGGAACCCCTAAGACTATTGCCCTGAGATACCCTTTAAACTTTGAACTGAAATTACTCCCGGAGGTCACCTTTCAGCTAAATAACAGATTGGCTCATAAAATAAACAATATCACCCATGAGTACTGTACTCCTTCAAAAAATTATCTATATTAGACCAAATGGTCAACATTTACTCTAAAGCAAAGATGAGAAGGTAACAGGGGCGGCGGGGGTGCAGGGAAACTAGATTAATGGAAATGGAACAACCAGAATGGAAATATTGAGAATGTTAATGCATTGTGAAAAATGTAA